AAAAAAAAAAAAAAAAAAAAAAAGAAACAAAGGGTTCAATATTTTTTACCAACTTAAAGACTGAATAGGAGAAAGGAGATCCATAAAATGACTTTGTGCTTCAATGCTCTAGGTTTCTTTATAATCAGTTGTGCTGCAGGGTGACATTCTCACAGAAGAGGAAAATAAAGAATATATTAATTTACAAGGCTAGTTGGAGAAAAGGTTATTATGGTTGCATACAGATAAAAAGGTCACATTTAAAGATTTTTCTATCCTAGGATATTTAAAAAGTAGAATTCCTTTAACAGTCTGTTAGGAGAACATGATGGTACGAATGCTTTAATTCTTTGTAGTCCAGTTTGATTTGAAAAGCTATATATTTTTGAGTGGGTACCACTGATTTTTGCAATTGTTTGCAATTCATTCATTTACTCATCAAATACCAGGAAACAAGGAATAAAAACAAAGTATTTTTTATGAAATATAGTAAGAGAGACAGCAGGTAGACAGATGATTCAAATGCAATGTGCTAAGTGATACATTTGAAGCAGTGGTAGCCCTAAGTAAGAATGATCTATTCTGCATGTGCCTAAGGATGATTTATATGATTGCTTTTGAAGAATGAGACTTAAATGAAGCAGGGAAAGAAGTATATTTAAGTATAAGGGAGCAAAGGTACAATATACTAAAATTTAAGTGTTATCAGAGTTCTGTAAGTAATTCAATATAACACCACCACTCAACAGTTATGTCCTGTTTATTTATTATGTCCAAGGAACCTGTCTAAGCATGTTATATGTATTAACTAATCTAATTTTCACAGCAATCTGAAGCAGTCTGGTTCCAAAGTCTTTACCTTTAACTTTCATGTTACATATTTTCTTGAAGAGATGGCTTGATGAATATACTAATTGACCTGATCTGATAACTGTACATTGTATATATTGAAATATGCCTATAGACCCCATAAATTTGCACAATTATGATGTGTCAATTGAATTATTTTTAAAAAAAACAATGCTTGGAAGAATTAAGAAAGAAAAGAGATGACTTGAGAGTTAATTGACTATTGTTTTGACAGAATGGCAGATTAAATACCTTTAAACCAAGTGAAAGTGGGCCCCTGGGGTGTACCTGAATATTTACGTGCTGCTGCTGGAAGGGAAATTTGTTACAAATTTTTTAGAAATCAGTTTCTTTTTACCTTGTAAAACTGAGGAGCTTAAATCTTAGTTTAGACACAACTGTATTCCAGGATCTAATCCCCAGAGAAGATCTTGCACATGTGCTCCAGGAGACAAGTAGAAGGGCAGCATGTTTGTACTAGCACACACGAAAAGTAAACATCCAAATGTTCGTCACAGCACATCAACAGTAACAGTGGAATAGGTAAAAACATTATGCTATATGTACATAGTGGAATACTAAAACAGCACAAATGAATGAGCTACAGTGATAACCTGGATCTCAGGAAGATTATACTGAGCAAAAAAGTAAATTGCAGAATACCTAAAGAACATATATAAAAAAAGAACACATATAAAGAATATGCTAAAATTAAACAACACATTGCTTAGAGATACAAACGTGGCAAATGATAAAAAAAATCAATGGAATATACTTTCAAAAATTTCTAATTGTGTTTCTTCTAAAGGGAGGACAGGGGAATGCAATATGGTAAAAATGTATAGGAAGATGTCATTTCTATTTCTCCTATTTCATAGTAATGTTTGGATTGGCTCAACACCAGAGTGGAAGGAACAGAGAAAAGAATCAAAGAACTGGAAGACAGAACAACAGAAATTACCTAATCTGAACAACAGAGAGAAGACAGGCAAAAACCAACCAACCAACCAGCCAAACAAACAAACAAAAACCAGAGCTTCAGGTATCTGTGATACTTTAACAAAAGTGTTACCATGCATGTTTTTAGAGTCCTAGAGGGACAGTAGAAAGAAAGTGAGAGAGTACTGGAAGAATTAATGACTGAAACTTCCCAAACCTGGCAAGAGACATCAACCTACACATTCAAAAAGTTGAATGAATTTCAAATAGAATAAAGCCAAGGAAATCCATTTCAAAACATATTATAATTAAACTTCTGAAAACTTAAGACAAAGAAAAATCTTGAATATAGCCAAAGTAAAATGACATGACAGGGAAAACCATAATTCAGGTAACAGTGGATTTCTCATCATAAACCTTGGAGGTCAAAGGGAAGTAATACAACATTTTTCAAATGGTGAAAGAAAGAAAATTTCAACCCAGACTCTTAATCCGAGGAAAAAAAAAAAAAAAACCTTTAGAATGAGGAGGAACTGAAGACATTTTTTAGTGGAAAAAAACAAAAACAAAAACAAAAACAAAAAACACCAACTGAGAGAGTTGATAATTAGCAGACCTACCTAAAAACAATGGCTTAAAGATATCCTTTAAACAGAAACATTAAAAAAAAGGAATCATAGATGATCAGAAAGGAATAAAGAATATGATTAAAATTTGGAAAGTACAATAAGAGCCTTTCCCTTTCCTCTCAAGTTTTTAAAGTTATTTATTTATTTATTTAAACGGGGTCTCACAATGGTTGCCAGGATGGAGCACAGCAGCAGGTTCATAGCTTACTGCAGCCTCAAACTCCTGGACTCAATTGATCCTTCTGCTTCAGCCTTCCAAGTAGCTGAGACTACAAATGTATAGCTACAACCAGCAAAGGGTTTTCTAAATTATGTTTTATGTTTGAAACAAAA